GGAGGTCTGCTCGTGTTGCTTCCTTACCGCCACGAATCGATGATTTGTCAAGGCCTGTCCGAGTGGCAACTATTCTTCTTCTTCCCCTCAGCGCCTGCTCTCTGGGATCCGTTGACCTTGGGCTCATCAGCACGTACAGGCAATTGTGATGGGCTGGGAAGCTCCCCATGTCGATTCTTCATCCGCTTTGCTAGGCCAGACTTTGGAGTCGAGTGGGCTGCTAGGGAAAGCGGTCTTGTAGATTTCAGATGTGGCGGTGTCGTGACTTCGATGGGATCATGATCAGATGTTATCACTTGTTGGAATTCCATCAGATCGTCGGCTGGTTCAATAGGGTCATCAATAGTGTCGCCCTTGTTATGAGAGAGCGCTAGTGCCGCGGGCGGGTGATGTATCCGATGCTTTGTCCAAGTCTGGAGCCTCAGGTGCTTCGCCATCATCTTTGGTAGAGTCTTTGTCGCTGTGCTGGGCCTTTGACGCAGAAACACGGGTATCATCCGTGTCGAAAGCATCTCCTTGCACACCGTCTTTCCTGCTTCCAGTTGGGTCTGTGGCATTAAACGTCTCATCAGGACCGGCAGAAGATATCAGTGCGGCAGTTGAGGGTAACGGCTCGGAGATGTTCTGTTTCGGCGGCGGCATTGAGCGCTGCTCGCTCTCGTCATCATCATCTCCTTCCTCTTCAGATGAATGCACCCAGCGTTGCGATAATCGACGGTACTTCCGCTCATTCTCGCCGTCGTCTTCCACTTCTAGGAGCCCAATATCACCGCTCTCATCCTCAGTGTCAGATCCATCGTCTTTCGTCTCCATGGTATCGATCAAGTTGCGAAGTTTGATCGGCCCTGGGCCTCGCATGATAGCGTCCAAATCAACATCTTCGAGCGAAGGCTGACCAGCTTCAGGTTCATGCTCCTCTTGTTCTGGCTCCTGAGCAATCTCGTCTTCTTCCTCCGAACTGCTTCCTTCGTCGCGGCTCTCCACAGTCACCTCTGAAAGTAACGAGTGACTTGGCACAAGAGGCGTCCATGAAGGTTGAGACTCCTTATCAGCTTTCGTAGCTCCCTCTTCAGACTCGTCGTCAGTCTCCAAGTGCTTCCGTGACGTCTGCGTAGTATCTGCTGCGTTGCGCTTTGCAGAAGACTCTGCAGCGCTAGGAGACTTTAACAGCGACTCTAAATCCTTGATGGTAAGTCGTTGCTCCTTTGCCCCTGCTTTCCTCAATACCTCAATTCTATTCTGTATCGCTTCCTGGCCCGCCAACACCGTCGGGCACAGATACAGGGGATGAAAGGAACCAGAGCAAGCATGACAAAGCGGGCTAGATGACACACCGCCTTTCGTGGTCGTAATTACAGGGGGGGCCGCTGAAGTGGACGGCTGGGAGGTGTTAACCGAATTCACCTCAGTATTGGTATTATTCTGTTTAGCCTTTTCCTCCGAGGCACGTGCTATCGAATTCACAATGTCCTGAATATTTATTGGATTGACAGGTTGGCCAGCTATTGATCTGGCATTGGTCAGACCGTGACCACTGTCAGAATGAGTTGCGCACCGCCTGCATCAGAAGCCTTGGCTTTTGTTGTTTTGCTTTGCTTAGTCTTCTCTGTAGGACATTAGAAGGCGAGGAATCAATGTATGATATCACGCACTTTCTTTTGGGGCTGGAGGTTCTGAACCTGCCGCAATTGTAACTTTCTTGCGGCCTTTCGTTGAAGCTACTATAAAATCATTGGTGAGAAGGAAAATCATTAGTGACAAGGAACGTCTTATGAATCTGAAAGACGAACCAGATGTCTCAGGAGCTGGTTCGCTTGGAATCGCTTCACTTCCAACTTCTTTACCCTTCGCTTTGCTCTTCTTCTTCTCTGAAGGTAGTCAATCAACATGTGTTTAATCAATATATACAACCCCGCGTACTTTCAGGGGCAACTGCACCGTTCGCGGATTTCTCGCCCCCAACTTTTGGGATGCGATGTTCAACATCCAGAAGTACGGAAAGGTAACATGTACCTACCAGACTGAGGGGCCGACGATTGTGTGGCAATATTCTTCGTCCCCGATGATTTCTTTGACGGTTCTGAGGGACCAGAAGGAGCCGGGACTGTCTTGTCATCTGATGCTGGTAGGCTAGAGGTCTCCTTTGTCTTTTCAGCCTCCTTCACCTTCTTGGTCTTCTTTGGTGGCTTCTCTGCAGCATCCTTGGCCGTACCAGCCTTCGCAGTTTTTGGCTTCTTCTTCGGCGGTTCTCCATCCGTAGGGACGGGTGCTCTGGTGCTGATGAAGACTTCGGGCTTCGCGGAGGGTTTCAGTGAGGATGTTGATGGAGCACTGACTGTGGAGGGTTCCTTTCTCCTAAGACTCTCTGTAAAATCTTCGACAAAACCGCCCTTAGAGGCGACCTTGGAAGTTGGCGCAGTCTCCGTATGCTTGGGGGCGACGCTCACTGCAGGCTGATCTGTCTTCTGTTTCTTAGTCTTTGATTCGGGTGTCGCAGTCGTGTTACCATCCTTAGGAGGCTGGTCATTATTGGTTTTGCGTTTCTTCTTCGCCACACCTGTCTCTGAAGCTTTTGACGCGTCCCCCATGATGGCGGAAGATGTGGACTCCCTTTGCAAGAGGGGTCAGCTCGAACTCTTAAACACGAGCCAGCTACACGCGAACCACTGGGCTTACTGAGATCTCCACCGCCACATCAACCAACTTCATTAATCTCGCCCGCGCGGAGAATGCATCGAAGTCATCATCTGGAGCAAATTGACAGTCAGATAAGGGGTGCTAGACCAGAGCCGGCGCGTTTACCGTCATCCAAATCAATAACTTTGCTGCCACGCAGCTGCTTTAGCTTCACTGTCGTATTCGACGGTAGCTGCAGTTTTCGCCGTACCACGTTCTGTATTTCCTCGAGAGATTGTTCTGTATATACTGAAATGAGTACAAAGCCACCTATAGTTAGTCAAGGAGGGTGTACCCTTGAAGAGTCTATCAAAAGACCTATCACCAACGAGATAAGTAATGCTCGGTAGTTGTTCCTCTTCTCGCTTTCGTTTTCCGCTTTCGACTTCCATTGCAGCGGGTTAACGAGCGACGCGACAGTGCGTGGCTTGAAGATGTGGGCGTTGATAGGTGTCAAGCTTTTGTGGAGGAGCAATCCATAAACAAACGCAAATACCACCCTCAACCCGGAACCATTCATTATGGCTGGTGGAAGTCATCGTACGTGATGCTCAGCTCGTCTTTTTTGCTGCGCTCATGATGTATTTGCAGCTTCAGGTTTTAACCCTCATCTTCCCGGGTTCAGATACCAGTTCCTTGCAAAGGCACTTGGAGCCACTATGTGGTTCTTCATCTTATATCGAGCCCGGTAAGTTGCAACACTATTTATCTACAGTCGTATGCTAACTTTTTATCAGTGAGGACGGACCTAAGCTTCTTGTATTTATCTGTTTCTCCTCTGAATGCTACTCCGTGTTTCTAATACGCTGTTCTGCAGGGCCTCCGGCATCCATGGGAGGGTCATGGTCATGGTCACCACGATGAGCACTCAGAGCATCATTGACCATCTCGATAGAAATGTTGTAATCTTTTGGGTATTCACTGACATATCCGCATATTGTTCGCACCATAGGACTGAACTTGTTCATCAACCTTCGCTGCCAACAACCGATGACGGCCGGAAGCGAATTCATTATTCGTGCTCCGAGCTCTTGACCCCAACTCTCCCTCTGAGACTCATATAAAAAATCTGGTAAGCCCTTGAACTCCTGAATTGTTCGGAAAGCTGGCAGCAAAGGCAATTCTGGAACGATTGTATATTTGCTGATTGCTTGCAATGTGTTCGAGAATTCTTCCATTGTTACCCAGGCAGGTGCTACAGGAGTGGGTTGCCATGCCTTGCCATGGGGTGTCTGCAGCTAGTCTCGCGCACACCAAGTTGGTCTGTTCTAAGAACGCTATTAGAGATTTTCTCTCTCTCGATCTTCTCTATATTCATACATGTCTCCTCCATCCGCCTTACAGCTGCCATGTGTTTGACAGAGGACTTTGATGAGGATACTACTGGAGGGATCAGGGCAGGCCCCCGCCTGCCTTCAACCTTAGGAGTTCGCGCAATGCCCGTATGCCTAGGGGCGTCAATTATCGCTGCGTCTTGATCCGTCTTCCGTTTCTTGATCGTTAGTTCAGGTGCTGCAGTCTCTTCAACATCCTTGGGAGGCTGGTCATTCGTGGCTTTGCGTTTGTTCTTAGCTTCGCTAGTCTCTGAAGCTTGTAAATCATTCTGGAAGATGTGACCCCATTTGTCACAGGAGGAGGTTGCTGGAACGGGTTAACACAAGCCAACTAAATTCAAACCACTGCGCTCACTGAGATATCCACCTTCACATTGACCGACTTCACGATTCTCGCATGCACGGAGAATGCCTCAAAATCGTCCTCTGCAATAAATCAGCGGTCAGCTAAGAGGTCATTTATGTACTGCAGAAACGATGTATTTTACCATCATCCAGATCAACGAACATGTCGGGATAGCCGCTGCTTTAACGTGATCGTCGAGCTCGACGGCAGCTGCAGTTTTGTTCGTACCATACTTGTCATTTCTTTGAGAAATTTTTCTGTAAAACAGTGAGCTGAACGCGATCCCATACAGGGTTGGTTTGGGGTGTACCTTTGAAAACTCTTTCGAATTTCCTATCTCCGACGTGATAAGTGATGGTCACGACCCGTAGGAGGGCTAGCATGTCACCATTCAGAGGCTCTCGTTTTGCGCTTCCCATTGGCATACAACAGTTTAGGCGACACGTTGATGAGTCCACACAAATGCCACTGCAGGGGGTGGAAGGACAAACCCGACTAACAGACTAGGTCACATTAAATGCCCACAAATTTAAAGGACCCCTCGATCTACACGATGCCGTACAACAGCCAACTTCCGGCACCATGCTTGAAGCTTGAAGCGATGAGCAGATCGTCGGTGACAAAAAGCTCATGACCCAATACAGTCCGACCTGCCTGGCTCGAACAGGCGACCTCAAGATGAATTGTTTTATCCATTACAGTCTCGCGCTCTTCCAACTGAGCTAAGGTCGGTTGATGACCTTCACGTTATTTTATCTATAACGAAGTGACGGCAAGACCCTCGTCCTTCTACCAGTTGCCACTGGTTAAGGTTCCTGTTTCCACCCACTGGTCTCATGGGCAAACAGAACAAAGATGATATCCCCAATCCAAGCAGGGTTGGCAATCGGGACATCATCCAACGTCTCAACTTCCTCTATCAAGCCAGTGTTCTTCTCAATGGCATGACACCTGGCCCCTCCTCGCAGGTTCCGTTTAGCACTTGCGCGACCAACAACACGCAAAACCCGCCGAAGAAACGGAAAAAGAGGGTCGTGTCTACTGCCGACCTATCTAGGAGCTACGTAGACACGATGAAAGTCGTCGGACAGAAAACGAATGTCAAGATGTAAGCACATGCATCTCCCCCTTTACATTGTAGAGCTCATGGAAAGCAGTGATCCAACAGTCAAACGCGTTATATGTAAGGGGTGTCATATCGTGTTGATTCCTGGCGCCTCCTCGGTCGTGCGGGTGAAGCGTGCGTGTTGAGTATACATCGTTCTTGTCCGTGCTCATAAAGCTGCCGTGATACCCAGAATCCGCATCACACAGACACCTTGTCATCCACACTTGTAACTCGTGTAGAACATCACGACGAATACCCGCGCCTCCAGTACTGGATGCGAATGAACCTCAATCTACGACGGACCAGCCAGTTCCCGGTGCTACAATTAGAAGTGCTGCGAGTTCATCACAGCGTAGACAAAGGAAGTCGCACGCACCCCGTCTGCCGCCCCACTTTGCTCGAGACCTCGGTCACGTTGTTTTCCGAGGAAACGAGAGGTTGCCCGATGCTATTCTATGATATCAAACTGGATCATTTTGTAACTTGTCTGTTCCCCTACTGGTACTTTGCTGTCGGTTACCGCAGTTAGGCGATTCGGTGAGTCGAGTCTCACACTGTCGCGTTGCCCATGACAACTGTGAACAACATAACTCAGTTCCTCTCAGCAGGGTTCGAAAAGGGAAGATCTTGGGGCTGGTGGTGGGAATACCCACGAGAAGTACGGCCTCAGCAGTCTAGTCCACTATTAGCACCCCAAAGTCCTACGTAGCGCTCATTTCAAGATCTCTTGATGTCGGGAATGTTCTACAACAGCCGGGTTTGTTCGAGTGGAGTTGTAGATAACACTATCATCATACTCTAGTACTACATAGTACTAGTATATTCTGAAGTCAAATACGTTTTGCTTCAACCATTATTGGCGTACTACGTAATAGGTCTCCCGCAGGCATACCAAGATAAGTCGTTCCTGAATCCTGTACCGATTCCGCAGCAACTGCGCTCACGCAAAATTCTACCTTCAATTGGTTGTACCGCTCCGGTTATAATTGGTCGTCGAACTCGGAAGCTTTCACATTTCTCGTTTATGAACGCACTTAGAATAACGAAGACACGACGGGGAACAAATATCTTGCTCTCACTGGTTTCAGAGGTTGCCTGCTAGTAGCTTCAGTCCATCGCTCGCCATGTCAAGTTATCTACGTAACTTGAAGCTATGGCCGCCATCACATATCATGGTTGTGAATAGCTTTCGGGCAGCGTGGATAATCGTTGTCCTTTGGTATGAGGTTTGCACGTTTGACCATGTCTTGAATGATTGTCAGTGGCCCGATGTCCATCAGGTGAAGTAACGCCTTATGGTCTCAAGTTAATGCTTATGTGTCAATTGTCAGCCTGACGCACCAAACTCCCGTATTGCACGCGTGTTAGTGGTAGCAGACCCTCAAATCATTGACCACCGCTCCTATCCCACGCGTAACTCCCTGATGAAAGCCTTGGGCCAGTTCATCATCGATCTCAACCTCCGGAGGAGCTGGCACTCGACGATAAACAGAGTGCAACCTCATGCCGTTGTTTTTCTGGGTGACCTCATGGACAACGGCCGTGCGACCATGTCGAATAGCGAGTACGTTCTTCATAATTCATCGTTGCGTCCAAGTGGCGATATTTCAGCTTGCGACTGAGGTTGCTCGTTTGCCCACAAGGTACAGCGCGTATGCTGCGCGATTCTTCGACATCTTCAAGTTAAGGGATTTGTCCATGCCGACATTTTTTCTTCCTGGGAATCATGACCTAGGGTGCGTCATGAATCCTCCATGTGTAGAGTATTTTTTGTGAATCTTTCGGACCTACAGACTTGGAGAAGACGCTTCCTTTTCTCTTGAGGCTGCAACAAGGTACACCTCTCACTTTGGACCATGGAATCACAAGACTACAATTGGAAACCATACTATTCTGTTCATTGACTCGGTCGCCTTGGTCGAAGAAGATGTTGTCCGCGCAGACCGAGGGTATTCATATGACAACTGGCCTGCAGTAGCAGGAGGATCCGTCGATTTCGTAAAGCGGTATGCTGCACATGAGCACGTCAGTCCAGTTGTGCTCTTCACGCACATCCCTCTTGCTCGGCCTCTTGGTACAGACTGCGGTCCGCTGCGAGAACGGGGCACCATCCGCCAGGGGCGTGGTTTTGGGTACCAGAACACACTTTCTAATGAAGCATCGCAATTTCTACTTCGCTCGCTCGGACCATCCCTTATATTCAGGTTCGTTGTCCCCCTGTTCCTTACGCAGACCCATTACTGAACATAGTTACATATTCAGTGGTGACGATCACGACTACTGTGAATATTCACACCCCTTGCCTTTTTCATCCTGCTTCTGGGTCGACCACAGTGCAAGAAATCACAGTGAAGTCGTTTTCAATGGCAATGGGAATACGTCGACCAGGGATTCCAACTTCTCTCGTTGATTTCAACAGTCCCTGCAAATGAAACCCTGACGCAATTGCCAAATTCACCGCCTTCGCTCCTAGATACACCTTGTTTCCTCCCGGACCAGCTCGGTATCTATCTCAATGTCTACCTCCCTTTCATTTTACTCTCGGTGCTTGGCCTCCTCGCGTTTAATGTTTACCGAGCTCTCGCCGGGGGCGACAAACAGGCACAGCGCCGGCCCGAAGCTTCTCCTCGGCCCAGCCATCCCGAACACAGCATCCAGTCGTGCAAACAGCGATTACGAGCTTGTATCGACGCTCAGCTCGGACCAAGTACTTCGGAAGATACCGACGAGGATCCATTCCTACCTCTCCCTGTGACTAAACTTGCAGGGCCGGCGCACTCCAGCAAACTCCGCGGTAGATCCTCGCCTTCTTCCCATTCATGGGCCTTCTATCTTCTAGGGCGGCGAAGACGTTTATCGCTGTCCCTGCCGTGTTCAAGGGCAGACCGCGGAGTGCACGAGGTGGGGCTCCTTCGTGGCTTTGTCAGTGATGTGGTGGACGTGGCGTGGCCTCCTCTTCTAGGCGTTTTGCGTCGCTGCCTGGTGTGCAACGCACGTCTGAGGTGGAATGGCATGATGCTCGTGGCCGGATGATACCCTGATAGAGGATCGGCTTTACGACCTAGGTGTGGAATTTCAGCGACTGATTAGACTACCATTATGCTTTCGGACTATAGTCGTCGGTCTAATTTCGCAGTGCCAATATTCCAAGGCAAAATTTACACTACAAGACTGCAAATGACACCGTAATCTCCGAACTGACAGGCGTGGTCATCCTTACGAATGACGAGCAGGCATGAAAGGGACAGGATGCGGCGATCAGCCCAGACTTCCCCTTGTGATTGACAGAACATGCATCAATGCGCTCTGAAGATAGATATGTACCTGACAAAGTCTTGCGACCGACATGATGCGTCCTGAAGGCACTCACAGTGAATGCCTTGTCCAAGATCCCCTGAACAAGCGCAGGAACAGCGGCTTGCGATAGCAGGCAGGCCAAACCAAAAATGGGCCATAATTGCCTTGGCTTGCATAAGGCACGGAAACTGCAACAAGGGACGATAAGTAACGGCACAAAAAGGAGACAGGCAAAGAAGTTGTCCCGACAAGGCACCTCAAGTTTGGTCCGTGTCATTGATAAGATGGCGTATGCACGCTTTCTTGTAAATGAAGGGGCGATCCTTGAGATCTAAGAACTCGGTATTGAGGTCCGCGTTCTTGCGTTGGCGCGACATTTACTCCGACGAGGGCGGTGGAGGAGATGCCTGAAGATAGGACCGTCAGATTCAGGTTGAATTTCGCAAGTCTGGATCCTCTCAAGTGATGATCATGCATATACACTGGCGTTGTGAGAATTGATCTGCAAAGAGGTCAGGGAGTCTGACCTACTCCGACCCAGTCTAGACTTCACAGCTTTATTTGACAGGTGAAACTGTTCCTCAAAACGCTCGGCCTCGGCTGCACGTCGAACTCGTTTTCCGAGTTGCGTGTGCGTTCATCGTATACACTTGTCCAGCAAAAAGAATCTTGACACATATGATCGCGTGAATATGGCGAAGTACTCACCTGTAAGAAGTTCGAAGATAAGCGTTCGGATGAGCTCGGGTTGGGACCCCGTTGGCTTAACAAACGGATTTAGCGCTGGCATATGCGGCATATGATGCGTGGTGTGCACTGCCTGGATGGATAAGGAATACATACGTACCACTGGCACAAACACCGGAGAAAGTAAAAGAGAGATCTGATGATCCGACAAGCGCCACTGTAGCCATTCTAGAGCTTGGCCCCGATATGTAAAAGCTATCTGAAAAGTCAGTTACATTTGTTATAAAAGCCAGGATCAGGAAAGACTCGAACGTTGTCCATTCGAATCCAGCACTGGGGCGAATCCATTTTGCGGCGAGACGCGGGGTCCCTTTATCGATTTTATGCAAGCACGTTCGTCCTCAAACAGCAGAAGTTCATATAACGACCTCTACCGTCCACTGAAATTGCTTGGTCTACAACCGAGATCTTTTATCCTTCATTCAACTTCGCCTCCAACGCCTTCATCACCGTTAGCCAAGTCCTCTTCTAGGGAGTTCAACGAACGACGAACTAGCCAAAGGAAATCCTTGTGTGAACTCATACCAGAGGAGCTGAACGTTCTCGGTTCGGACTTGTCCGCACCCGGTCTCCACAACAA